GGAGACCCCGAGTCAGCACTGGGGCTGGGCTGCGGCTCAGGCTCGGCATTCCTGCTGAACCGCCTGGGGGCTCTGGTTCCCTCCCGGCCCTGAAACACCAGAGAAGCAAAGGCCGCAGAGTTACCCAGAACCCCCCCCCCACCTGGTTACTTTCCACCTCTGACTGTCCTCTGTCCTCTGTGTCGTCTGGGACTCTCGTGTGTCGTGGCCAAAATACATCCCGAGCACCTTTTCGCTGACTCCACATTCTGTGACCTCCCTCTGGCAGTTTGAACTGGCTGCAGCAGAGCGCACTGTTCTGATTCTTTGCGGAGCTGGGGACGGAGCCCAGGGCCTCACACGTGCCAGGCCAGCGCTCCGCCACAGGGCCCAGCCCCAGCCCTTAATGCTATTTGGAAAATACAAATTTGTCCCTACAAAATGGACACATGGGGACGGATTTGGGCCTCAGGTGTCTTGTCTCATCTGCCGACATGAGATTCTTTCTTCAAGAAAATCCCAGGCGAAGGCAGAACCCCACACCTGGCTTCTGGCGTCCCGCGGAGGTTCACGCCCCGCACACCCACACCCCACACCCTTCACACCCCCACTCCATCAGGACCCCCACCTCGTTTCAGGCGACCGCCTCCCTCCCAGGCCTTCACAGTAACCCACCTGCCTGCGCCCGTGTCCACCGGGGAACCTGGGCCTGTTTCCCGGTCAGTACGGGGCTGTGGCGATGGCAGAAGGTGCCACGTCTGCAGTCGAGGGAGGAGAGAAGAATGTCCCCGCGCTTCTGCCCTCGTCGATGCTTTATTCCTCAAACTTCACTCCACAGGTTCTTAACCAGACCCCGAGGCTGGGCGCTGCAGTCGACATGACCGACTCACAGCAAACCCTTCTCGATGAGTCTCAGCTCTGCAAACACACTTGATCACGACAGGCTCGTGACGGTCCCTCTGCACGCCAAGCTCCAGGGTCAGATCCGAAGTCTCAGCCTCAGGCTCCGAGTCCAGCAGGTGCCCACTCGCTCAGACCCGGTGACCAGGTCAGGGCCCAAGGCAGGCTTCTCCGGGGTGGAGCTGGCGGCTGGCTGAGGAGGCGGTCACAGGGAGAAGCCTGTTCTCACCAGGGTCCAGAGGCGGCTGTGGGGTCTGAGAGCGGGGAGAACAGGCAGAGGGTCAGGCCTCACCCCCGTGACGTGTACTCACCGCAGGATCCGGTCATTCTGAACTGCTTAACATTGTGCACACACAGGTCCGTGTATGTGGGGGTGTGTATGTGGGGGGTAGGGGTTCCCCTGAATGCCCATCTATCAAAAATGATGACACAGCAGGACGCAGTGGCGCTCACCTGTCATCCCAGCGGCTCAGGAGGCTGAGGCAAGAGGATCTCAAGTTCTCAGCAATTAGGCGCTAAGCCACTCAGTGGCAGGGATGGGGCTCCGTGGTTAACCACCCCTGGGTTCAATTCTTGGGCACATTAAAAAAAAAAAGACACAGGGTGACCACAGAGCATGTGGCTCAGAGACGGAAGAGGCGAAGTCACCACGCGGGGTCAAGCAGGACTGCAGGAAGGGTGGCCCTCGGGGGCACCAGGAGGAGAACGTGTTCATTTCCCTGTCTAAGGACCCCCATGTCACTGCACAAACATCTTCATGAGTCTCCAGGAAACACCGTATTTTGGTTCATAGTCACAGTCACGCTGTGGCTCCGTCACTGACGGGTCACCCTGGAACTTGGCACATCCCCTCCCCCTGCCGTTGGTGTCTCAGGCTGCAGCTGACCGTCCCGAGGGCCTTGGGTCCCTGTGCGTCCCTGTCCTTCTCGCCCGAGGACGCCACAGGTCTTATGACTCCTCACCCGGGCCTCTCTCTCCAGGTGACCAGGCCACAACCGAGCCACCGGGTCCCAGGGAGAGTGTTCACCCTCCAGGGGCAGCAGGCCACTGGCCGGGTCAGTTTTGGACCCAGGAGGCCAGGAGCAACCAGACCACAGCTGGACCCCCAGCTCCCCCACTGCCTCTACCCCTGAGAGGGCCGTGGGGTCTGTCTGGGGCTCACGGCTGCGGACCTGGTGGCGAGGTTGTGGCCTGGTCACCTGGAGAGACAATCCATAGGAGAGCAGCCGCCCTGTGCCCGGGGCGCAGTCCCCGGGGCCTTGGGGAGCGGGTGGACGGGCCACCAGCCCTTTGGTTTTCTGAGACCACCGCACATCTGTGAGTAGCTGCTTCCCGGGGTCTTTTGGGACCCCCCCCCGCCATGCCGTAGGTATGGGGGGAGGGCTCTGCAGGGGCAGGGGGCCTCTGGCTGGACTCACCGCAGCTGTGTGCCCGGGGGACAGCTCAGATAATCTCCAGGGTCCTTTCAGGCAGGGACGCGGGCGTCACCTTTAATCAGTCACGGCGAGGCGGGCGGGCGGAGGGGCAGATCGCGGTTAATGAACGGGCTCCCTGGGCGCAGCGGGGAGCGCTGGGAAAGCCGCCCTGGGCCAAGGCGCAATGTCCTGAGGAGGGGGACGCCCCCCAGGGGGGACCGCCACACAGCCAGGGCGCGGGGAGAGCTGGGCTTGTTCCTGCGGCTGCTGTCACGGGTTCCCACCTCCCTGTGGCCTCCCGCAGCACGAGCTCTCTCCCCCAGTTCTGGAGACCAGAGGTCAGTGTCACCCAGGCTACGGCATGGACAAGGCTGAGTGTGTCCCCCGAGGGTCCAGGCAAGGGGAAATAGGTCCCCAGTGGCCATGTGAGAGGGGGGCCGCCTGGGGACGGTGACCTGGGCTGCTGCCCCTGGAGGGTGGACTCTCTCCCTGGGACCCGGTGGCTCGGTTGTGGCCTGGTCACCTGGAGAGAGAGGCCCGGGTGAGGAGTCATAGGACAGCCTGACCCACGTCCCCCTCTGGCTTCCTGGCTTCCCATGTGAGGTCTCCCTCATCCACGGTCCCACCACGATGTGGCCCCTCCAAGGGGGCCCTTGCCCTGGTGTCTGTCGACTTCTCCCTTCTTCGTCTTACAAGGATCTTTGCAATGGATTTAGAATCCGCCTGTATAATCCCGGATAATCTCATCGCTATCTCAGGATTCTTCACAAAATCCCATCTTTTGCCACACAAGGTGATATTCACAGGGGCCAAAGATCAGCACTCGGACATCATCCAGCCGACCACAGTCATCCTATAGCGTAGGGGCTTCATCCGATTTGTATTGCTATAACAGAATTCCTGAGACGGGATATTTTATAAAGAAAAGAGGTTTAGTTCTGGAGGTTTAAGAGACTGTGCTGATACCTGCTCGGCTCTGGTGAGTGCCTTCTGGCCAGGTCACAAAGCATCGTGACAGGAGCATGCGGGAGAGGGAGAGATCCACTGGAGAGACAGGGAGAAGGAGAGATTCAGGGCCTTGTCTTGCTCTTTACAACAACTCAATCCTGAGGGAACTCACAAAATTCTCAAGAACAACGTGAGGGCCTCACCTCCCACCAGGTCCCGCCTCTGAAGGCTCACAGCCCCCTCACATGGCCACACTGGGGATCCAGACCACAGCACGAGGCTCCAACTGTGCCTGGATCTGGGGACGCGCCACCCTGTGTCATCTGTCAGCCAGGGAACAAGACAGGAAGCGAAACCCACTTGAGGTCTCTCAACAGAAGGAGGTTAATACAGGGCCTTCGCAGCAGTCCCGCCCTGCCACTGAGAGCCACAGCCACTGTGTGGGGAGGGAGCGTGGCCATGCAAACAAAATAACCATCTTACAGAAATGTGGCCCGGGCCTGCAGTTTGCCGACTCCTGATCGTCCACACTCTCTGTAAGTGACGATCCCATTGTGGTATGGAAATTACATAAGTGAGCAAAAGCTGTGGGGTTACCCCGGAGCTCAGACTCCCTGCTACGTGCCTGGTGGACGTGCCGCCTCCGCCTTTGAAGAACTTTGGGGACGTGCCTGATTCTCCCCGCCTCCGCTGCCTGCTCAGGTGAGGCCCACCCTCGCCTGTCTGGATGGCACAGATGCACAGGGCAGAGCACTCACGCCCTAGCTCCACACCCCCCGAGGTGCCCAGCACCCAGGCACTCCTTCCTCTGGGCCTTTGCTCTGCTGCCCCTCTGCCTGGACACCACCAGGACATCGCATTCTCAGTGGGGACGTACTCTGGCCCTATCCAAACCTACAATCCCTGCTCCGACACGGTGTCTTCGCCATCTCCAATTTTTCCCTGTCTCCCCTCTCTAGAGGACAAACTCCACCAGAGCAGGGGACTTTGTGATCATTCTCGACACAGAGGACATCATCAAGGATATCTTTTGGAGCTGGTCATGGTGGCGCACCCCTGTAATCCTTGCCACTTGGGAGGCTCAGGTAGGAGGATCGCCAGCTCAAGGCCAGCCTCAGTGAGACCCTGTCTCACAAAAAATAAATAAATAAAAAGGGCTGGGGTGGTGTGGCCCGGTGGGAGCCCCTGCCTGCATGTGCGAGGCCCTGGGTTCCATCCCCAGCCCCGGAAAATAAATGGAAACCTACAATCATCTGGGTCCCCGTGAAAAATGCGGGTTTCCCGAGCTCCAAGGGCCTGACTGGATAAGCCCTGGGGGGAAAAATCTATCCGACTTGGCGTTATGCAGATCTCATTCCGATGGGATGAGACAGAACACAGACGGAAACGGGGCTTCCGACGTGACTCGAGCCCTCTGCCCCCCACCCCCAGCCCTGGGGAGCCGGGGGGCAAAGGCCTGGGAGAGGCCCCCGGACCCCAGGGAGGAGGGGGGGCGCCAGGCTTCCCACAGTGAAGAGCCAGAGGAGCACAGAACCCCCCAACCCGGGGCAGAAAGGACGGGAGGGAACCCCGCAGGACAAGGAGGGTGGGCGCTGGCCTGGACCCTCCCGCGGGGGCCAGCCGGACCCAGGACGGCCCTGAGCAGAGCCCCAGCTGGTCTGCAGCCAGGGCCCGGCCGATGGGGGTGCACGGAGGGGAGCACACAGTCCCCCAAAGGCTCCTAATTGCCCAGGGTCAGTGGGTCACCCAGATAATCCTCTGGGCCACATGGGAGGGGGAGGGGGTCTCTGCCACGGCCAGGGAAGCTTCCGGAACTCCCCGGGCCCCGTCAAGTCCAATTAGCCAGTGAGGCGGGAACGTGGGCCGGGGCCAGCGGGGCTCCTGGGCAGGAGAAGGGCCAGGCCCAGGCCCAGCTCCCTCATGGAAGGAGGCCACAGGCAGGGGCTGCGTCGGGGACGGGAGGGGGGACGCTGGCTTTTGGTCCGTGGGGTGCTCCTGTTAGCTGCAGGGCCTGGGGTCCTGCTGCTGCCTGGGTGATCTGAATTCTGCTCAGGGAGGACAGAGCGCGGGACCGACCCTGTAGGAGGGCCCAGAGTCCTCACAGTGAGGTCCGCAGGGCTGGGCAGAGGGGCCGTGGGCAGCGTTGCTTCATGGGCCCGGTGCCATCCCTGGATGAGGGCACAGACTCACTTTCAAGTCCTTTCTGGAACCACAAGGGTTTGAGCAAAAGTCTCCTATTCCTGAAGATATCAAACCCACCACACCTCATGGCCCTGCGATTCCACGCTCAGGTACAGTCCCCAGAATTGAAAACAGGCCTTCACACCAAAACTTGTACCCATGTGTTCACAGCTGCACTGTTCACAAGGGCCAGAGGTGAAAACAGCCTGAATATTTGTCAACAGGTGAATGAATAAAGAAAATGTGGTCTGTCCATACAACGGAATATTATTCAGCCACGAAAAGGAACAAAGCACTGCCATATGCTACCCACACAGACGAAACTCAAACACATGACAGAAGCCAGACGCCGAAGGCCACGTGGTGCCTGATCCCACTCACCTGAAATATCCAGAACAGGCAAATCCACGGGCAGAAAGCAGGCCAGTCAGTGGGTTCTAGGGCTGGGAGAGGGGAACGAGAAGTGGTGGTTAATAGGAACCGAGTTTCCCTCTGGGTGACAGAACGTTCTAGAACTAGATCCTGGTGACGGTTGCAGTTTGGGGAATACACAGGAAACCGCTTAGTGTAGGCTGAATTGTGGCCCACACCCCAAACGTCCACCCAGAGCCTCGGCACGGGATCTGATTTGCAATGAGGTTCTTTGCAGATGCAAGGAAGGAAAGAGGTCTCAAAACGACCCGTCCTGGGTTGACAGAGCTCCCTAACCCACGGCTGGTGTCAGAGGAAAGATGAGGGAAGACAGACAGGTGAGATGGGGGTGCAGCATGAGCCGGACGACACCTGGAGAGGCCCAGGTGGACCCTCCCTCAGAGCCCCAGGATGCACCAGCCGCTGGCACCTGGGCTTGGGACTTCTGGCGCCCGGATCAGGACAGAGTCAGCCTCTATTACCCTAAGGCACCCAGTCGGAGTCAGCACCCGGGTGGCACATCTCACGGTGTTGCGCTCGCACACACACACACACACGTACGCGCACACACGCGCACACACGCACACTCACATTAGCACCACACGTCTCCCGTTCTGCAGCGTCTCCTCCTTCCCCCGTTTCCGTACTCTGTGGGGGCTTCCGGGACTGCTCACCCTCCCGGAGGCCCCTCATTTTTTCTTCTCGCTTACAATGTGACACTCACATCCTCTGAAGCCTGGCCCTGGAGGACAGCGTGCTTTGATTTAGCAAGGACAGCGAGTCCTGTGGCACCCACAGATGCCATCACAGAATGCACCCTGTCCTGAGGACTGCCCGAGCCATCTCCTGTGGCTCTCACAGACCTGGAGGCTGGACCGTCCAAGTCTCGGGGACCCACAGCTGGCAAGAGCCTTCGTGCTGCATCGTCCTGGCTGAAGGCAGAAGGCAAGAGAGTCAAGAGAAGGGGGGCGAGGACCCAAACCATCCTTTTGGCAGGAATCCGCTTCTGTCTAATTAACTCATCAGTCAGCTTTTTGTTACTGTAGCGAAACGCGCAAGGCAGACTGATTTATAGAGAAAAGAGGTTTATTTTGGCTGGCAGTTCTGGCATGAAGATTCGGCATGACACAGGCTCTGGTAGGGCCCCTTGGGCTGTGTCACGTCATGGCTGGAGAGTGTGTGTCTCTGTGTGTCTGTGTGGTCTCCCTCCTCCTCCTCACACAATCACAAGGGCTCTGCCTGAATGACCCCATTGAATCTCATCACTTCTCAAAGGCATCACCCCTAAACAACAGGATGGGGTTGAGTCTCCACCCTCTGAATACAACTAACGAAAAGCAAGAACTTGGGCTGGGGTGTGGCTCAGCGGTAGAGCGCTCGCTTAGCACGCATGAGGCCCTGGGTTCAATCCCCAGCACCATATAAAAATAGATAAATAAAATGAAGGTGTTGTGACCACCTACAACTGAAAAATAGATATTTTTAAAAAATTAAAAATAAAAAAAGCAAGAACTCACCCCGGGGAGGCTTTGGCCTCTCTCACTGTCTCCTGGACCTAATCACCTCTCTCTAGCCCGCCTCCGCCCGCGTCCCTTGTCGATAAGGGGGAGTACTCACAGGGTCATGCCTCCGTCCACCAAAAGTAGGGTGTTTTAATCACCCCACAAAGAATCACTGTACCCTTCCTCCGTCACCCACATTTTCTCCATGTGTCCACCCCAGCCTGGGCTAAGCAAGCACAGACATCCTGCACTGGTGTGATCTGTCTGTTCTGGACATTTGACATCAGTGGACTCACACACTCTGGGCTTTTGTGCCCAGCTTTGGTCACTTAGCAACCAGTTTTTCAAGTACCTTTACACTGTGGCGAAGGTCAAGGCTGCATTCCTTTTTTTTTTTTTTTTGGTACCAGGGATGGAGCTCAGGGACACTCGACCACTGAGCCACCTCCCCAGCCCTATCTTGTATTTATTTAGAGACAGGGTCTCACTGAGTGGCTTAGTGCCTGGCTTTTGCTGAGGCTGGCTTTGAGCTCCTGTCTCAGCCTCCGGAGCTGCTGGTATTACAAGTGTGCACCACCACGCCCAGCTGCATTTCTTTTGATGACTGAACAGTATTCCACTGTAGAGATGGGCATTTTGTTCCTATATTCATCTGTTGGCGGACATTCGAGTTGTTTCCACTTTTTGGTTATCGCAAATAAACATCTGGAGCAATTCTTCGTTTGGCGTGTGTTTTTTTAAATTTGGGGGCACATCCATAGGGGTGGGATTGCTGGGTCATGCATGTCCGTGTTGACTGTTTTCAGAAATAGCTAAACTGTTCTCCAAAGTCGCTGCTCCTTTTCACACCCTCACCAGCCACATATGACAAATGCAATTTTTATTCATTTTTGCCCAGACTCGATCTGACCTTTTCATCAGAGCTGTTCTGGCTGGTTCCAGGTGCCATCTCGCCGTGGCTCTGGGTGGCATTTCCCTCCTGACTCACGGTTCCTACACCTGTTGTCCATCTGTCCGGCTTCAGTGGGGAGTTGTCCTGGCTCGGGGTGTGTGACAGATACTCCATACGCTAAGAGGCTAAAACAGAAAACACTATTCTCACTGTGGGAGGCTGGAAGTCTGAGATCACAACTGGGGTCCGGTGAAATCCACTCCTTGCTTCGCAGACGGCCACCTGCTGATTGTGTCTTCCCAGGGTAGGGCGGAGGGGGGGACACGGACAGAAAGACCATCCCGCTCGCGTCTCTTCTAACAAGGGCACCGATCCCTTCCACCAGGGCTCCACCCTCCTGACCTTGTCTCCCAGACGCCCCATTTCCAAGAACTCAGGCTCCCACGTAGGAATCGGGTGGGGCAACACGAGTATTCCACCCACAGCAAATGTCGACCCAGATCCTCCATTAAAAAAAAAAAAAAAAAACACTTTTAGTTGTAGACAGACACAATACCCTTATTTTCTTTCTTTCTTTCTCTGTGTTGCTAGGATTAAACCCAGTGCCCCACACATGCTAGGTGAGCGCTCTACCACTGAGCCCCAGCCCCAGCCCCAGCCCTGTCCATGTTTAAATTGTGTGATTTGTCTTTTGGTCTTTGAGGCAACAGGGTTCTTTTTAAATCATCAGTCTAGAAGCCCCCCGTCAGGCATGTGATTCATAAATAAAATTGGGCCTCTGTGTCTTAGGTTCTGCAAATTCCCAAGACTCTGCCTCTGTGCGGAACGTGGAGAGACCCTTTTCTTGTGGTTATTCCCTAAGCGATGCCCTATTGGGGATTCTACGCCACCTGCAGGTGATTCAAAACAGGGGGGTGGGCAAAGGTCCTCTACAAACCTCCACCGTGTGACACAAGGGACTTGAGCATCTGTGGGATTCTGGGGGTAACTTCTAGCCGACACTGTGGGAGGACTCTACTCTTTAGTTTCTTGATGGTGTCCTTCAGAGCAGTGAATCTTTAAAGTCTGATGAAGTCTGATTTTCCGTCACCCACGTGTGACAGGCCCTACCGTCTGTGGCCTGTGTGGTGCATTTTGCAGCAAAATCAAGACAGGGAGGAGCCGTGGAGACCCGGGGCTGGCGGCGTCTCCCGGGGCGTGTGATCGGCAGCTGGCACAGCACAGGCTGGCCGTTGGGAGAGCAGAATGTCCTGCCCAGAAATGTGACCTGAGCACCAGGGTCTCCGCGGTAATGAGACGGTCCTCGTGGGAAAGTTCCGGAAAGCCAGCAGCCTGGGAACGCCTGCGGAGCAGGGCTTGCGACCTGGACCCCGGGTCAGAGCCAGCCTTCGGAGCGGTCCCTGGGAGGAGCGCCCCCTCCCACACTGATCTTATCCTCGGATTTCAGAAGCAAACACAAGGAGAAGCGAACCCCGAGTCTCGGCGTGGGCTGGGGACCCCTGTAGAAGACACGTGCTCCCTGCTCCTCCCTGAACATGCGGCTCATCAGAGGCCCGAGTTCTCCGCGAACGTGGGAGAAGGAGGCTGGAGGCGCGTCCTCCCTGGGGCGCACTCCATGGAGGAAGCTGCCGGAGCTCTGGGCTCTGACCTGGTTCCCCGGGAAGCCGAATCCCCATCTGGCCCCAGGGACAGGCAAATCGTGCCACACTCCACAGCAAAAGACCCCGGAGGGCTGCCTGGAGTTGGGGTCTTCCAGGGCCTCCCCACGGGCCCCCAGCTCCAGGGGCTTTTGCAAAGCCGACAGTGCCCCCTGTGCCACAGGACATTTCTGGGGGTGACCAGCAGGAGAGTTTGCTGCTCTGACCCCGAGCCCACTCCCGTTCGTTTAGGGGTGTGGTTTTCATGGGGGGGATCTTTCTGCTCACCAAGCTGAGGGGACACTAGTAACGTCTGGGGACTCTTTGGACTGTCAGGACTCAGGGGTGGGGGTTGCAGCTGGCACCTAGTAGCTCCGCCCAGCGACTACGCAGGGTCCCACAAGCACAGAACCTCAGATCTGCACGGCACAGCACACGGAAGCAGGCTGGGAGACGGGACCAGACGGAACAGGTCACAGGGACAGGTCCAGGATGGGTGTCCCTTGTTCCTCAAATTATCGGAGCTGCCTACCCAGGGTCGGGTGCCTGCTGGAGTGGAGGGGGGGCGGAGGTCACCGAGGCTGTGCAGGAAACCCCATGAGGAATGGCACCCCTTCATGTGGCCAGGTTGGGGGAGGACAGCAGGCCTGAAGGCCACTGATGGGCCAGGTCTTGAAGGAGGGGACAGGGAAGATGGGTCCACTGCACAGAGGCTGGGTTTCGCCAAACAGCATCCTAGATAGACCTGGAGCTGCGGCGCCTTGCAGGTGGAGATTCCTCAGGTGGCCTCTGGGGGGCAGCAAATCCCCAACAGGCCGGCCCCTGCCCATCAGACCCAACGTGCAGAAGCAACTGTAGATGCCTCTCTGCCTCTGTCTGTCTGTCTGTCTCTCCCTCCCTCCATCACCCCCATCTCCGGCTGGAGATGAAACCCAGGGTCTGTGCAGGGTAGGCAAGTGTCTACCTCTGCCACACCCCAGCCCTGTCTTGTAAAAATTAACCACTGATGCCCACAGATCAGAGTGGTATTTGAGCATTTCTTATCAGACTGCTTTCAACAGGCCATTATAGAAAATCGAGATAATTAAAATAACAGAGTATAAATCGTTCAGAATTGCCCCCCTAAAAGATGGGCATGATTCAGATTTGAAGCACAGAACCTCAACCAAACTTCAGACACAAATGGGGAGGACAGGTGGCTTTGTCCTCTCTCTCTCTCTCTCTCTCTCTCTCTCTCTCTCTCTCATCTGTCATGCAATGGACTTTTTGGTTTGTTTTTGTTTGGTTTTGATCTAGGGTGTCATGAAGTTGCCAAGGCTAGTCTCAAACTCCTAGCCATCCTCCTGCCTCAACCTCCCCAGTAGCCGGGAAGACAGGTGCCCCAGTTCTACGAGTCTTTTTTCATGTCAAGTATCCTAAAATATGATCATTCTTCACGGGGTAGCAAGAGTTGGTTCATATTTTAGTTATTTCCAATTATTCGCTATTATATTTAATGACCCAATGAACATCTAGAGGACAAACGTATTATCAAAATTTTGATGTTGCTTCAGTACATAAAAAAACTCAAGCCAGTTGCGATGGCATGTGTCATGGTTCTGACGACTGGGAAGGCTGATGCAGGAGGATCACTTGAGCCCAGGAGTTCGAGACCAGCCTGGGTACCACCGTGCAACCCTGTCTCAAGGAAACAAAACAAGCTGGTGCGGTGGTGCACCCCAGTAATCCCAGCAGCTCAGGAGGCGGAGGCAGGAGGATCACGAGTTCAAAGCCAGCCTTAGCAACTTAGCAAGACCCTGTCTCAAAATTTAAAAATGAAATAAAAAAAGGCTGGGGAAGTGGCTCAGTGGTTAAGCACCCCTGAGTTCAATCCCTGGTACCCCAAACAAACAAGCAAACAAACAAAAACAACACAAAGGATAAACTGTGTCAATGATGCAAAAGCCTCATGATATCAGTTGACAGGTGCTGAGCTCTTTGTCTGGCCCAGAATTGCTGAGCATCTCCATAGTTTCAAAAGACATGTTTATTTTTTAAATATTTATTGTTTAGGTTTAAGTGGACACAATATCTTTATTTTACATATATGAGGTGCTGAGGATCGAACCCAGTGCCTCGTGCCTGCTAGACGAGCACTCTACCACTGAGCCCCAGCCCCAACCCCAAAGGACACGTGTGTATTATCCTGGCTTTAAAATCAGGAGACTGTGCCTTAGAGAAGTAGATCCTTCTCTCCCATTGAGGCAAATTGAAATGCTCTAACGCGGAGCACTTTAAAGTACACGATGGCAAGGCGTCCGGGACATTCGCCAGGCTGTGCGGCCTCTCCTCGGGGTAGTTCCAGAGCACGTTCATCCTAGCAGAAGGAGACCCCGTCCCCACGGGCAGTCAC